CATAACAAGAAATGTATGGAACAACAGAGTATTTGACAGGCCGACTACCTCTTGAGCACCGACTGCTGAGGCCACAGGCGGCCAAAAAGTACTCGTCGTAGAGCCATTTGAAGCTCGGGACGCAGTGCAGGGGTACTCCGCCATTATAAATGTCTGAACTCTCAATGATGAGGAAGGTGCTCCGCCAGTCCTTCCACTTGTTTGCTTTACCTCTCGTCATGAGGTAGCCCCTGTGGCTTGTCAATTGATACCAGCCGGTACCGCCTGTCTTAGGGGTCCGGCTGAGATAGTTCATATGGGCGAAAGCCTCGAAGCTCGGCTCCACCCCGTGCAGTTCGCACCCGGCCACATAGCCGAGTACGTTGACCCAGGAGTTTGGGGCTAACTGCCATAACCCCAACTCATACCCATCCAAGATCCGCTGAACAGCCGGATGTAATGGGAAGCGAAGCCCTGCCTTGATGGCCGCCTCGTAGCAGCCAAAGCAGGCGCTATCACAACTGGAACCAGCCGGCCAGACGACTGTGTCTTCTGGATCCGGCACAAACACTAGAAAGTCGGGGCCCATGGTGTGGTTTGCAATAAAGCTCTCCACTTTCTCTTGCATGGCTGTGATCCGGCCCCGAGGTACCGTGCAGTAGTAGGGGGTATTTAGCTCTCGGTAAGAGGCGGATGGCTCCGCCCAATTGTCCCCCTTCTCAACTGCGTGAGAAAGTCTCGCCTCTTGCAGGCGGCTGTTTTTCTCTTCTGTGTCCAAAGAAGCATGGCCAGAAGAGCTTGACTCGGAATCGTCCTCTGACGAGTTCGAAGAGGACGACTCCTCCCCTCTCCCGGAGGGGCCCGCCTCCTCTCTTTGAAAAGGAGCAGAATTGTTAACTGTTAAATGGGAAGGGGTCACTATGACTCCTCCCTCAGAATTGCCGGCTTTTAGGCCGCCTTGTTTCACTTCCACATCTGGCGCCTGGTCAGATGTTTCACTAAGCGGCACCCTGTGGGAGGAGCCGTCTGAATTTGAGATCCTAGCAGTCTTTTTCGTTCTGGTCATCATGCTCTGCATAGACACAGATATAGTCGGACTTTGTATAAAGGGCAAATATGGGTCTGGAAAAGGGCAGGCGGCACTCCTAGTCCTAGATTCAGCCGTCCCCGGTGACCGGCTGATCACTAACCTAGGTCGTGTCGTGTGCTTCCGTGGTGCCGTTTCAAAAAAAAAAAAAAGAAAATTAAGAGTAAGAGAACTGACAGTTACCTGAACGAGTGACGGTTGATGAAGTTCTGAAAATCCTGTGCAGTCGGCTTGTCAGAACAGGCGGTAGGCAGAAAAGGTCCGAAATGTCAGAGCAAGTTCAGGGGTCCGAATGTTCTCAAAAAGTTCTCAAAGTGTGAAAATGACTCAAGACAATCCTCCCTTATATAGGCGAAGTGAGAAGGCGAAGGGTCACTTTCAGAATTCAAAATTTGGGCGGGAAAATCTCTCGTCCTTTCGCCGACTGACACCTGTAGAAGGTCGCCGCCTGTTACAGTGCGACACCTGTCACAGGTAACACGTGACCAATCACGTGCCACCTGTGAGGGGCAAATGATTAGGGGATTTTGCTCCCACCAATCGGAATGCGCCACGTGGGCCAATCAGGTCCTGCCAAGTGTCCCCCAGTTGGAACTGTCAGGGCTTGCCACGTGGCACGCGCTTATTCGTCCACCTTGGACCTATTATGTCATGACATGTGGCATACTCCATGCCTAATGGAGAAACCGGCCACCCAGGCCCAACTTCGAGGGAAGCCCAATCGGCCCTAGGTTAACCTAAATCTAGGATGGGCACGTTTCCCAAGGTTATAAATACCTCCCTTAATCCTCATTAAGGGGGATTACGAAAAAAACACATTAATTACACACAGTAATAACCGGCTGATCTCGCTAACAAAGCAGATTACCTACATTAAACACTCTCACCTAGAGAGACCCAATCACTTTAATTTCCGCATTAATTACTCCTTAATCAAGTACTAACTTGACCGTTGGAGGCGGAGCTCCCACCACCAGGAGTCTCCGTTATTTTGCAGGTACAGGCGTCCGGTTCCAGTCTCGGAATTGTAACTCTCCCGCAGGACATCAGAAAACCCCGAAACACGCGTCATTTCAATAAAAGAGTAAAACCTAAAAATATAAGAGAAGGTGACCTTGTACTAAAGCAGGTTAGGGGTCCACCAACCGATCCAAGAGGGAAATTCAAACCTAATTTGATAGGTCCCTACCGCATAATTGAAATCCTATCAGGAGGAGCCGTCAGATTAATGGATATTGGAGGAGATGAAATTCGCCAATTAATAAACGTTGATCGCCTTAAGAAATATTACATATGAAATCCGGATAAAACTCGTTCATTCACACAACCATTTTTAATTAGCATTCAATTGAAAGATTTTAAGTGTTATGCGTTTTACTGAATAACACGGTAAAATACATAACATTTGGGGGGGGGGGAATTTAGAAATAATAAACCGTTCTAAGTGTTCAAATTTTTTCGAACGGCACGAAAAAAATCTTCACACTTGGTGAGGGGGTAACAATACAAATTTTTTACGAGACATTCGTAGCACAGGTGTCGCGTGCGACTGGAATAGTTCCGCACGGATGTCACACGCAAATGATTTTGTTGCGCGCGACAGGCTCGCGCAACTACAGACGTTGTGCGTGCCACCTGATGACGAACTGCGAACCCGAATTTTTGCCCATCAGGCAACAACGGTTCTGCCTGACCCTACTAAAGCATGCATATTATGTCAGTGAAGACTTGGTGTGAAGCTTGGAGCTTACGTTAGAAGAAGGGCCGGGCTAGAGTAAGCTGAGGGGGCACAGTTTGAATGAAGTTGCGATTTCTACTTACGGTAATAAGAGGGTGTTTCTTAAATATAACATATATTCGGAAAATTAAAATTAAACTTTGATTTAATTCTTTTAAACAAGGTTTGATTAATTTTTTCATTTAATTTCTATCTAAGAGATTAAAGAAAAAAAAATACATAATAATATTAAAAAAAAAAAACATTAGAACTACGCAAAGACCTTATTTCGTAATGCGAATACGTAAGTAATATCTATGATTCGGTCATATCAAAATATAAAAATATAAAGCTCATTTTATTTTATTAAAAATTCAAAAGAGAGACATTATTGAACTAGATAGTAAACGAAAAAAAAAATATAGTAGTGATTACACTTTATTCAAAAAAAAAAAAAAAACTAATAATAAAATTGTGTAACACTCTAAGGTTTTACTATGTCCTCCATTGTCACAGATGATGGAGGAGTAGTTTCCATCGCAACATTTTCAGAAAACTAGGAGCTTTCCCCTACACTCTTCTTCTTCACCCAAACATTGTTTTTCAATTTAGGGATTGGGGCCTTTGCAACCTGTTTTCCTTTCCCTTTGACTATTGGAGCTTTCTTGCGAGTATTTGGTGAACATTCTTTGATCTTCACACCTTGTTGCGCAGGTTTGGAGGGAGCTTTCCTTTTTATTTCCTTCTAACGAGCCTTAGGGGATGAGAAGTCTAATTTTCTTCTCACTCCTTTGTTTTGGCCACTAGGAGGAGTAGTATTGGTTGAATGCATCAAAGGCTTAGGTGCATTGCAAGCGGTGGCGGCTTGAAGTTGAGATTGAGCCTTGTTTAATTCACCCTTATCCGCTGCATTCATCCAAGCCTTGTAAAAGGAAGATAATGTAATACTCGCGGGAGGATTTTGTATTACCCACATAGGAAGACTTCACCAATATTCCATCCAACGAGCAATCCTTTCGGGTTTAAAGGTCACATCTTTAGGGGGATCATTATCTTGCGGAGGAATAAATTTCCTCATCCCGTATTGTCTCATCACCCTACAAGAAAAAATATAAGTAGTACTTGATAGGCTTAAAAGCCTAATGTAAGGGAAATTGAGACTATTCTTAATCATACTATTTATGTTCCACCAAGGAATCACAAAACATATGTTCGGAACCCCATGACAGAAAAATGACGTCCATTCCTCTTCATTCTTATTCTTATAAAGGATTCGACGTCCGGGGAATGTCTTTACTCCATTAACCTCAAGGTTTTGTGGCTTATCAACAATTCGTAAACGCTCCATGAGCCAAATCTGAAAAAAAGAGAAAAGAAAAAAAAATTAGTTTGCCATTTTTTACACAAGCAGGTGGCGCGCTCAACTAAACCAGTTGCGCACACCCTCCGCGTGTAACGAAGAAGATTGCACTGGGCATGCCAGCGCAACTTCTTGACTTGCACTGATAAATGTCGAAAAAAAAACCGTGCGTGTAATAGGAGTGGACTTCCCGTGAAATCGTTTTCGTTAGGATATCTTCTGAGGCGATTCAAGCACAGAACGGTTTCCATCAAAACCAAAGGAGCGGGTGAATGACATCCCTCTATTTTCTCTACTATGGACACCATCGATTAATTTCTGTATTCTTTTTCTGTCCTAAGTAAACAATTAACAACAAAACAATAACATAAAGCACGAATTTTAAAGTGTTGTTTAGTCATGTTGTCACGAGGGGTGACGAAGTGTTCAATAAATTGAATTAAGTTCACGCCTTCTTCAATTCCTATGTTGGTGATATCATTGTCGGACAAGCCAAAAAATCTTTGGAATATAAGTTTGGGATCCGACAAGGTAGGCGAATAAGTCACAGGGAAAGTGAACTACACCAAAAACTAGATTAGAGATCGCAAAATATAGAACGGTTATCAAAGGTAGGCGTTCTCCAGAAGAATATAGATCGTTTAATATAAGAGGCGTTCTATAAGTTGATACATATGAAACGGTTAGCATAGTTAACCGTTCTCTATTTCTTTTACTCAATTAATTAAAAAAAAAACTATGTATTATAAATGATATAGAACGGTCATCTTGACAACCGTTTTGTATTATATTAATTAATTTTTTTTAATTAGAAGGAAATTACATTCGGAGTAATAATTTCATGAAATTACCCAAAGTGAAAATTGAAGGCATGAAGCCCGCATCACTTACACTTTCATGAGTTTCATCAAAAAAGTGAAACCTTTTTCTCATTCATCAGAAAAAAAAAGTGAAACCTCCATCAAACCTCCATAGCAAAACCTTCATCATCCGCTTATTGTTCAGCTCCACCGCCGCTCTACTGCTGCTCCACCGCCGCTCTACCGCTGCTCCACCACCGCTCTACTGCCGCTCCACTTTTGCAGTACCGGACCTGTCTGCTGAGCCACAAGTAAATCGAGGTTCGAATTTTTCTTGTGATATAGTAATTGGATTTTGATAATTGCCAATCTAATTGCATGAATCATTCACATTATGTAGGAAACAGAGGTAAATTCGTAGAATTCAAATTTTAGGTGATTGAAAAAAACTTCAAAGTTCTTGTTTTAGGGATAATTCATCGATTGTTTGTATGTATATATTTAAGCCGAATTATTGCATTAAGTTCAATCAAATTATCCTTAATTTTGTCGAATTTACTTTTATTTCAATTGTAATCAAAATTATTTTTGCCAAATTAATCTTACCTAAGTTCAATTTAGATCCCTAATCAGATTTTTTTTTAAAAAAAGGAACAAAGAGATAGGACTTAAAACAGTGAAATAAACATACAATTTTTGGTTTTGGTTTAGTGGTAGTAATATATGTTGTTGGTAGAATTGATGAGGATATGGTTGAGCCCATTTTGTGAATGAGGTTTGTTTGAAAACAAAATGTTGGGGTTTTTGTGTTTACATCTGCTTTTGAATATGATTTAGAGTCTACATAGACTTGCTATTTTACCTCTTCTTTGGCTGAATATTCATATGCATTTAAGGTCAGACAAAATTAAATATAGAGTTTGATGCCCAATGGAACATAAAATGGTAAGTAGAAAGCAAAACAAAGAAGGGGTTACAGGCTAAATATTCTACTTGAACTACCCTATGACAAGAAAAAAAAATTTCAAAGGAGTTGTAGTGCTAATTAAGCTAGTTTACATTGATATTTCGAGGGTATTTTGATAGGTAATTATCAACTACTACTATTGACATTGGGATATAGTTCTTCATTATCTTCAACGGTTATATTTGAGCTACTTTTTGTTGTAGAAAAATTTTGTCGGTGAATTAATGAAATGTACTAGTATGTTCTATTGTCCAAGTAGTAGCAATTAAGGTGTGTTTTTTTTTTCTTGACTAAACTGGTACAAAGCTGGAAACTACTTTATTTCTGAATAATAAAACTGAGTACTATGTTATCTTGCTTTTGATTTTCTCAATAAATTGTATTTGTAACATTCTATTTTATGAACTTCGGATACGGTATGGGTACAATTAGTAGGTGTGTTCTGGTTTACAGGGGAATGTACCAATTTGTATTATAATTTGCTTATCAAACTAATCAAGTAATTAGTTGATCATTTTTTTATTGCTAATCTTACTAGTTGCTGATTGAGACATTCGAAGAATCCTTTTACTCTACAGATGGTCCAAGTTTAGCTTGAGATTTTAGCACCTAAGCTAGCAATAAACAAACTAAACCCCAAATGCCCTGCCCTGCCCCTACCCCTACCCCAGGGTTTTCCCGTGTCGTACATTTTCACATATCTTCTATAAAATGCTTACCCCTCGTATTAGTTAATTTTCATGGGAGAATATTTTGCACTCTTCTTTTTCCATCTGTTTAGACGAATCATTAGATTAATTAAGAGTATTATCTTGGCTTATTATCTATTTGAGCAAGGTGTTACAGTCTTACGGAGACAAAATAATAATGTCGGATAGTAGAGTAAGTACAAGTACATAATAGGAGTACATGTCAAATAATCTCTCGCAAATTGATGCAAGCATTGTAGTCTTGACTAGATTCTTGTTGCTATTAATAGGAAAGAAAGATGCTGCTGCTTCCTCTTCTGTTCTTCAGTTGTTGAAGTTGTTCTATTTAATTTAATTTTTAACTACTTTATACCTGTTTTAAGCAATTATCTTAATTAAACTATCAAATTAATTAATTTCCCTGCAACTTGTTCTATAGAATAGGTAGGAAGGTTTTTACTCTACTGTTTTGAGTTGTCAGTCGTGTTATTTAATTCTTTTATCAATAATTTCTTACTTGTATTTTTTATTTCTGATAACTTTTCCCTAAAAGTTCGTAGTGTGTTTACTCTTGAATGGAGGAAGTTCGGAGATATGCATGAATTAATTGCACTATATTATGCAAATCTATTGTGCTACATGTGTACTATATATTTATATGACATGGATGGGTTGATTATAGGTCATATAAAGTTTATGACACTAGAAAAATCTGTCAATAGTTATAATGTGATTCATGTGGTTTGTGGGTGGGTAATGACTTTGAAGAATAGTAAATGTTCGAGGTGAAAGTCAGGTGGTTCAAATCGAGTCATATTCAGGTGATGAATCTTGAACTAAATATTCAATGGAACATAAAATGGTAAGTAGAAAGCAAACAAAGAAGGGGTTATAGACTAAATATTCTACTTGAACTACACTTTGACAAGAATAATTTTCAAAGAAGGGGTTTAATTATGCTGGTTAATAATAACCAGTTGTATTCGTTGATCCCCTCGATCGATCATTGCTCTCTATGATTTCTGTTCTCTGAGAAAAGTATGTGTTGTAGCTTCTACTAATTATTTATAAATCATAATATTATAAATTCACGGCTTAGCTGGTAAATTAGAGTATATTCGTAAGTATTAGCATGAATGTATTCTGGTTTATTTGAATATAATGTATCTCTGATGTATAAAGGTTCCACCTGGCATTTCACTAGAATTTATCCTTGCGATTATAAAGCCTGAATATTGGATCACCTTTTTTTTGTTTATAAAGCAGGTCATTATTTCTTAGGCCTCGCTCTTTTGACCTGAATTCTCTATGTTTAAACGTATGTTTGAATGTATCTAATGAGAATGAACTAGTATGTTACCTTCAATTCATAAGCTTCTGGACAGTTTTGAATCGGATTATGGTTGATTAACAACTCATAAGCTTCTGGACAGTTGTGGTTTGCAGAAGATGTTAGAGGTGACTATTGTGGTTTTTGTCTAAATTTGCTTGTCACCTCCTTGTGATAGAGTTGGTTTCTGTGGTAGTGAATGAGATGGAGATGGTTTAGGCTGTGCTGGCGCCACTCCTGCTGGATGGAAAGGGGGCCGCTGTGCAGGTGGCTGAGATGGTACTTGGGTCTCTTGGCTGGGACGTGGAGCAACAGGTGCTTGCTGAGGTGGTAATTATCTGAGCTGGTGCTTACGCCACTTGGCTGGAACTGTGTACTAATATCTGCTTGCTGCGTTTTGTCAAAAAAGAAAAAAGATATACTTATTTATATTTAATTAGATGAACTTATTTTATATTATTAACTAATATGTATGTATTTTACATTGTTTTGTAGTATTTTAAGCAAGTTCCTCCTACATATTCTCAACAAATGATCGAGGAGCTTAAGGAAAGGTGGATTGCATATGTTACAGGAAGCCATCAACCAAATGACAACGATGATGATATATGTGAATTTTAGATCAATATGGTATTGGTATATCTAAGCATAATTTTTATTAAATCAACATTAATTAGAAAAGTGTTTTGATATTTAACTCACGTATTTGTTTGTATAAATTTTTTTTTGTATGAATGATTCAATTTAATTGTGGCTGGATGTTTTAATTTTATATATGAGGTATATTCTGATTGCTTTGTCGTATCTAGAAATATTTTTGTTAATTTATATTATATAGAAATTTATATTGCATGTATACAGGATCATGGATTTATTTTACATAGGAAAAGTGGAATTTTTCTTGCAGGATAAATGTACAAGATAAAATACAGGAATACATACAACAAATACAGGTCTAAAATGAAATACAAAAAAATATAGATTTTTAAAATACAGGAATAATACAATTAAAATACATACGGGGCTAATTCGAATAATCAAATACATATGGTCGGATTTTTTTTAAAAAAAAAACATTAAAGAACTGTTATCTAACTTAACCGTTCTCTATTGTAATGCAATATAGAACGGTTAAGTAGCCTAAACCGTTCTCTTTTCCTTCCTTAGTGTACGAATTTAAGAAGGGAAAAGAGAACGGTTGTGACTAACAACCGTTCTCTATTTGTCAATATATAAAACGCCTAAACGACCCGTTCTCTATACTTTATACATCGCTTAGCAGAAGAACGCCCCTAAGGCGATCTATAAAGCCTATTCTAACAGTTCTCTAAGACCTTTTTTGTAGTAGTGGTGTTTGTAGGGAAACCTAGCAAGGCCTCGAACTCACCAGGAAGGGGGACAATTTCGTCCTCTCTAAACAAGAAAAGATGGTGGTTAGAGTCCCAATGGTTGACTGCGGCATGAAGAAAATCAAGGTTAACCACTAATTGCATATAATTCAATAAAGGGTCTAAGTTGTAAATTTTGAAAGCTAGTTTGTCCTCGGTTAAAAGGGAAGTTTACCATTGCTTCAAGAGTTGTTCAAAGGTCTTCACCATTTTTCAAAAAAAAGAAGAGAGAATAAGAATTTAGAGAGATTAATTCTTTTTAATTTCTTATGTTACTAAGCGAATGAATGCAAGATGATCAAAAGCCTACACGAAACCACATTTAAATAGACCCAAGAGGGGCAAATTTTCGGCATATTCGGCTTAAAGGAAAGTTCACAGATAGGTGGCGCGCGCAACTCATGAGTTGCACGCGACATCCACGCGCAACTGATTTATATGCGCGCGACAGCCGCGCGCAACTCAAGCAGTTGCGTGCGTCTCCCCTGACGCGACATGAAAGATTGGGTTTATTTTTGTATTTTGGCTCATATAATGACGGAATCTTCACGAAATCTTAAGACGAATCATATGCTTGCCTTCTTAACACTTTGTGTCCCTTTTCTTGCCTACTTTCTTATTTTCTTTTTATTTTCTTTTATTATTTTATTATTTTCTTTTTTTCATATTTTCTTTTTTCTTCTTTTTTTTTCCTTATTATTTTCTTACTTTCTTTTTTCTTTTTATTTTCTTTATCATTGTTTTCCTACTTCTTTATTTTCCCTTTTTTTTCTTATTTTCTTTTTTCTTTTTCCTTTTTTTCTCCTTCTTTTTCGAGTTTGTTTATTTTTTCGAGGGGGGTAAGTCGGAAACTCTTTCCCTCCCTCGAAAATTTTTCTCATTAATAATAATGTACACATGGAAACAACAAATAATAATGACATATATACAAATGTGTCATATATAGAAAATAATACAAAAATTAAATATACATAGGTTTCCTAAAAAAATATAATAAATGTGTACAAGAGGAATTAGGGTGCTCGGCGACTACTAGAGGGTTGTTGCACATCCTGCAAAATTCAAAACAGAGATTAATACATAAAATGTAATAACTTCGTTGCAAATAATAATAATAATAATAATAGAACTTACCACGATCATCCGATGATCACGGCATGATAAAGTCACGAGGGCTCTTCGATAAGCAGCTCGGAAAGCGCGTAAAGTCCTCACCATGCCGTTCACGGTCTCCCGCGGAATCTGTTCCAAGAATACAAGGACAGTAAGTAAACACATGTATATGAGACAAAAAATAAATAGAAATATTTAAGTACATATACATAAAACACAAACCGACTCAACCGTCTCAGATACAAACGATATCCCCTCGTCATCCTCGGCTGCTGGAAGGGTCTCATAAATTACCGATCCGACGGCATCGGTATACGTGATCTCCGCTGTAAGAGGCACTCAACCACCTAGCTCGACTCGCTAAAATACATGTGACAAAAAACGATAAAAGGGGTCAAAATTCCGAAAATAAATAGAAACACGGAAAAAAGAGAGTTAGTGTACTAACTAGAACAAAAGCCGAAAAAGGAGTCAGCCTGGATGCTATAAAAGCCGGATAAGAAGCCTTCGATAGCACCAGCTGCTCCGCTGGACAACCAAGGGTCGCTTAAGCTTGATCCACGGTAGACAATAGGTCCGGACGCAACATCTGGATCGGGGGATCCGCAAGAACCAAAGGCTCCTCGGACGAAAGCTGCCAGAGAACACGCTCGCCTGAAAAGCAAGCGTCTGTCCTCTGGAACACCGAAAGTCTCGTATAGAGGGCCCAGAAACGTCAACGAACCATGCTAGACCGGAAAGCCTCAAGGACTCCGACGATCAAAGTCCAAGGACAAAGATCGATCTATAAAACACAACCACATGAAAAATCGCCAGAAAATGAATAAAATAAAAAAAGAGCACATGCATTGGGAATACTCATCGACGCACGAGTCGCCGAAAGAATCCTCTAGCGAAAGTCGCCGACAGAAGTAGCTCGTCTCCTCTTAATCGCGGCCAATCGATGGTAGATAGGAAAATGAGTAGCCCCAAGCACCCTGGGGGTTAAGAAAGGCAGGTACGAGTATCCTCAAGCCTGAAATCGAGAAAAGATAAGCCTAAAGGAAAAAACGAAAGTAATAACCGAAAGAAGCTTGAAACACGTAACTCAAGGATACGACCATGTCACGCAAGCGAGATCCGAGGCACCATGACCCGAGTCGCCTTGCCCATAGCTGTAAGCATACGGGCATACGACACCTCCGCCCAAATCAGGTCATCGACTTGCCCCAAATCACTATGACAAATAAGTAACCCAATGGCGAAACGCTCTCCTCGATCACTCGAAATAGTGACGGAAAGAACGTGAGCAATGTATATCCAAGCCAGCTGGTCAGGTGTACACTACCTGTCAAGCTCATCAGCCGACAACTCGTCGGCAAGAACCGAGTATACACAAGATTGCGAGTACACGTGAAGGGCCGATGCAAGATGGTCCCCGATAATGTCGCGCAATCTCTCTTCTGACCCCTTAACGAGTTCTATAACTACAGGCTCGCTTCCGAAAGGAAAACCCGTAAACATAGAGAAATCAAAAGGGGTAACCGTCATCTCTCCCCATCAAAAGTTGAAAGTGTTGGTTGAATCCACCAAAACTCCAGCAATCCACGGAGGAAAGCTGACGATGTAGACTGGCTCGATAAATCCCGAAGAGCCGCCAGCTGGGAGTCAATCCCAGAAATGTGCTACAATCTCCTTTGCCGCCTCGGGAAAACTCACGAAACGGGCTCGCAGGTCAACAGAGTCGTACAAACGCATGCTAGGCTCACTCTAAACAAAAATAAAAAGGGAAACAGTTATGGTTTAAAAAGGAGAAGAAACAAAGAAAAAGAGAAAGAAACGAAAGCGTGGAAAACTCACGATGCCGCGCCACCCTCTAATCAAAACGTGGTGGTCTGGGTCCCACTAAAGGACCTTAGGGTCCCAGTTGGGAGGAGCCTCCCAAATCACCTCCTCTTGGCGACGTTGATCGGCCGCGCCGCGTCGCTCTTGAACCTCCTCTCAAGGACGGGTCACCCTCTTACGAGGGCGAACCGCCTCGTCCGGATCGCCGAGAACCTCCTCAGCATTGACAAACGGAGGCGAGTCCATGCTGTGACGGATAAAATTTCTTTAATTAGTGTATTTTATTTCCTAAACTAAACTAATATACGTATTCTAGACCCATTTTGGCATCATAACGGCTACCGATAGGGCAAAACAAGAAAATTGAATGCCACTCATACTTGGGGCTACGATACCTACAGTTAAACTAAGTAAATGGGAGCTTTTAACACCCACAAAAGCCATCCTATACTAGTTTCAACTAAGAATTCAAAGGATTGTATTCCAAAATCTCACAGAATCAACTAATTCTAGACGAATAACAGTAATATAAACATAATTATTTTCTACCAAACAATTTTGGAGTTCGAATATGGCAAAAATAGGCTAAGTATACACTTCGCGCCAATTTTTTCGGATTTAAAATTTTCAAAATATTAATTATGGAAGCAAAGCTAGTTCTAATACTACAATTGTTGCATAATTAACAAGTATAACCAAAATGAGCAAGAAAAGCAATAAAATCAAGCAAAAATTCGAAAAAAAGAAGCAAGAACGAACTTAAACAAAGAAATGCTCATACAAGGTTCAATACTTAACCATTTTTCATGAAATTTGTTGCAAAACACTCCTTAAACATAGAAACCCCGCCTTGAAGAGCTCTCCTTCCCTCATCTTGACGTTTGCAACATGCTTCTTCAGTACGGCCGCCTTCTAGGGTGAATTAGGGAGCGTGCTGTCTGTTAGATATGCTTGGATTCCATCCATCCAAGTAGAGCTTCGGTCTAATACTCCAATGGGCTCGTCATCAAATATGCTTTGTTTTTTCATCACTACCCAAAAGACTGATCGAGGAGTATCACAGGAGGCAGAGGATGACAATTTTGACAGAGCATCCGCCTAATTGTTTTCATATCTGGGCACTTAACTTAGATGAACTTGTTCAAGTGTCCTAGCTTCAGCTTTGATCGCCTGCAAATATTTGATCATAGCTGGATAGGTGGCTTCATACTCACCATGGTATTGACTAATGACCAACTAAGAATTAGAGCAGGCTTTAATTTTTGTTGCCCCTACCGCCTTAAACATGCGGATACCGGCTAGGAGAGCTTCATATTCTGCATCATTATTTGAGCCTTAGAACTTGAACCGTAGTGCATATTCATATTTATCTCCTTCTTGAGATTGACAGATAATACTTGCACCATAGCTGTTCATAGTAGAGCTCCCGTCTACTTGCACCTTCCAAACTTGATTAAGGTTGTCCGGAGCAACCGACCT